TTATCTTTAGAGGGGAAGGGAAGGAGAGAGGGAGAGAAACATCAATGTATGGTTGCCTCTTATGCATCCCCTGCTGGGAACTGGCCTGCAACTCAGGGAGGTGCCCTGACTGGGAATCGAACCATGATCCTCTGGTTTGCAGGCTCACGCCCAATCCACTGAGTTACACCAGCCAGGGCAAGAAACACTCCTTGAATGTTCCCCAGCTCTACTCACAACTCCATTTCCCTTCAACCACAGTTCCTGCAGACAATCATGGCAGGGAAAAGATAGGCATAATGAGGAACATCTAAAGGCAAAGCTACAACACATTTCCCCCAAATTTGTTGTGCTTTTTGCACATTTTCCCCCTTTCCTCTGCGATCTCAGGTTTAAAAAGCAGGAGGAGGTGCCAGAACAGCACATCCCTTTTGAATCCGTGAGGTTGCTCGGTCCTGCCCAGCTGTGCCCTGCTAACCCAGCAGGGTCACGGATTCCTGGCAAGGCGGGGCTGAGCCTCCTCTGGAGCTCGGGCAGCGGCCTCTGCCTTCCCAGAGTGACCTTCAGTCCGGGAAGGGCATAGTAGGCACTGACTTCTGTCGGCCACCACCTCACAACAGTTTTTTGCCGAGGCAGCAGTTCTCTTCAGAGGCACTTGTCCCCTATCTAAATGTCCTTGGGCCACTTTGGGAGGTTTCCTACCTTTCCCCACCAGCTCTCACAGGTGACGGGAATAACTCGTGCTTTCATGGTCAATGCTCCACCCATAGTCCTCCACCACCACCGTCCACCGGCACATTGTCCAGCAGAGACTGTGACCCTGACCCTGAGGTTCTCCTTTTTTAAAAAAAAGGTTTTATTTATTTATTTTAAGAGAAAGGGAAAGAAGGGAGGAAAAAAAGAGGCAGAGAAACATTGACGTGCAAGGTTGCCGCCGCATGCCACCAGCCAGGGACCTGGCCTGCAGGCCAGGGCCTGTGCCCTGACCGGGAACTGCAGGCTGGCACTCAATCCACTGAGCCACACCAGCCAGGGCCCGAAGTATCTTCAGCAGGCACCTCTCACTCCCGGCTGGAGGGCAAGCTAAAAGTGCAGGGGAGATAAGCCTTTGGGAGAAGCCCACGAGCAGTGGATGACAGGGAATGATGTAAAACATCCCAAATTTCTTGCCCTTGGGGCAGGGGAGACAACCTGAGTTTGCTTTCTGCCATGTCCCAGTGGACCGGCAAGACTGAGCCGCAGCGGCCCACCCTGGTAACGTGCTAATTCAGGTGCCATGTATTGTCTCCCAGCCCCGCTCGCTTCCCCATGCTTCCTAGGCTCACTTCCCAGGTGAACTAACTGCACTCAGATCCGTGTCTCCTTGTCAGCTACTGCACCCACCTTAAAACACACAGTTGTATGTCTATGCATTTCCCTGTTGGCTAGTAATCTCCCCAAGGACAGGCACCAAATTGTATTCCTGGGAGCACTTACTGTTTGCTCCCTGTCAGGTGTTTATATGCATTTTCTATGCACAACAACCCTTAGAGGCCATGGCTGTTGTTATTCCCATTTCACAAGTGAGGAAAATGAAGCTCTGAGAGCTGAAGTCACTTGTCTAAGGTCACACAGCCAGGCTTTGAACTCTCCCCGAAGCCGGCACTGTTGATGATTACCATTAGGGCCATTAGAATGGTATTCAATCAATGACTGTGGAAGCAAGGGTATGCCAGCAAGCACACTCAACAGGCCCCACTACCAAGTGTTCGTGGTTGGGGTGCTGGCCATAGGGCTCCAGCCCAGCCAATTTCTCAAACGCAGTCAAGACCCAGTGGCCATCAGAGTTCCCTTCCCCGAATTTCCGTCCAAGTCCCTTTTTCTATTCATTTATTGATTTAAGAAGTATTTATCGATCCATACTGTGTCTAAGATATCTGTCTAGGCCTATGGAGGTTACAAAGAAATCTAAAGCAAATTCAAGGAGCTTACAATCTCCTGGGGAGTTGTGGGAAGGGGGTATGGGAAAGGGATAAAGATAAGGCAGAAGTGTCTGAAAAGATAAATGACAAAACCAGAGCTGTCGTCAGGCAGAAGTGACACTGGCCCAGTGAGCTGAGCAGAAAAGTGCTATGTTTTCAGAGAAGAAGGTAACCACTGGGAATGAGTAGACAGACAACCTGGAGGAAGTGGGGCTTAGAGGACTAAAGGACGGGGACACCTTGTGACTGGCAGCAGGGACAGGGAAGGAGAATGAAAGGGAAAGACATGAGCAGCGCTACAAAGCAAGGGGATTCCAGAGGATTCCCTTCCACATTCTCCTCTGTCCTCTTCCTCAAGCTGAAGCTTTTGATGAGGAAAAGATGTTCACCAAGAGCAAAACCAAGGTTTAAAAGAGAATCACAGAGGATTACAGACCCATACATAGTAATTCACAACTGCTTTTCAAGCCAAGACATGCATAAAGGAATACACGTCACATACTAACGAGGTCACCTTTCCTTCAGGTCTAAGGGCTGATTGAGTAAGATGACACATGTGAACAATTGGCACCAGAGGACATGGAGCAACTGCCAGCCCTCACTGTCGTGCGTGGGTCACACCACCTGGAACCTGGGCGTCCCAGACTTCGGGGTTGAAGGTATTTCCCTGAAGCCGTGGCAGCAGAGACCTCACTTCCGGTTCCCATGCTGGGGGAGGATTTCTTCTTCACCTTCACCTTCTCCCTGGTGTGGGAGCGGGCAGGCCAGAGTGGATGAGGAAGGGAAGGAGCGCGGCCGAGCACTCTGCATTTGTAAAGAGGTCAAGCATGGACAGCCTGGGAGACTCGGGGCTACCTGGGCAGCACTTCCTTGGTGGCTGTGTCCAGAGCTAAGAGCCCCTCATTATCTTTCAACTGCCCCAAAACCAACCTACAGTCTCAGTACAAACAATGCCTGCTACGCACGCACAGCTTTAAGACCACCCCAAGTCCCAACCAGATGGCTGCCCCCAAGGCCTCTCCCAAGTAAAAACTGCACAGCCACCGTTTTTGCCTGCTCACTCAGAGTAACTAGCGCTTTATAGATGGCCTGTGGGAAGACAATGGCTGGATCCAAGTCCCAGGAGACTCCAAATAGCTTTTCCATTTACTCAGCAAGAAAGTCTGAAGTCCAACTGGCACCAGGGGTTGTTGGAGCAATATTGTGTAGGCGATGGGCCTGTGCAAGGATCACACCCCTGGCCTTACCCACGGTCCATCACAGACCAGGTGAGGGCAGAGCCGTTGATGCCCATGGGGCAACCACTGCCCGCTGGGGGCTGGGAGCAGGAGGATAAATGCTTCCCCATTACATCTTCCCCACCCCTGAATGTTCCTGAGATGCATTTCACAAAGCTTCTTAGAAAGTCCTGCTTAGTGATGGCCGACTCAGTAATTCATCACTTTATTGGCGCTCCCTCCTTCCCTGTTTCACTCTCAAATAGACTACTCACAGGTAAGCATCCCATCAGGCTCTGCTTTAGGGAGAACCCAGGCTAAGGCACTCAGGAACCTCAAAAAATATAACTTCACTTCTGAAAATGAGGGCACAGCGGTGAAGTTTTCCTGGATGCTTGCTCATGTTTGCACTGAATGTGGACCTTCCTACTGTAACCAGTCAGGTACTAACTCAGAGAGGCTCTCGACATGACTAGCCCATAGAAGGAGGAGAACAGGATCCCTCTACCTCCCTTGGGGAGGCATGGCAGGAGAAGAATTCACTTCTCTCCAAGTCCTATTTCACTGTGTCCACTCAGTGGAACCCAGCTTGTACAGGGCCAGTGAGTGACTCACCATGTAAAAAATGGGAAGAACAGTTTCATTAGAAGTGGAATGTTTCGCACGCTTCTTACGTGCACACATCAGGGCACAAAGTGGGTGGCGTGGTTTGGCTGATGGCTGTGAGCCCTCCACTTGACCTGGAGATTTTAACAAATACAGTAAGGAGGCCTGCGTTTGAGAATCTAGCTTCCTCTTCCGAAGAAGCAGGTGAGGATAAGGGAGGGGGCTGGAGATGTGGGAAAGAATGGAATTAGAGTTAAAATAAACCTGAGAGGGAGGAGCAGAATTCTAAAGGAAGGAAGGAATGAAAATCTCATCCGTGCCCTCCTTCTGTGTGTCTAGGTCTCATCATAGAGGCTTTCAAAGTGGCGTGAGAAACATCCAGAAAAGGTGTGGAATAAGGTGGTGCGGGGTGAGTTTTGTTTGGGATGCAAAAACAAAGAATACAAATAAGGAGGGGGGGGAACAGAGAAGTGTTTAGTTTTATCACTCTTCACAGATCAAAAATTATGTTTTAAGTTTAAGACCTTGTTGTGATTATAACATTATTATTATTTTTCTATGGGAACAATGTGAAAACGAAGTCCCTGGCTGGGCGGTCAGTTGGTTGGAGTGTCATTCTTATACTCCAGGGTAGGGGGTCCAGTCTCTGGTCAGGGCACATACAAGAAGCCAACAATGAATGCACAGGTAAGTGGAACAAGGGAACAGTGTTTCTTAATATTATAATCTACCCCCCCACCCCTCCACCCCCCCACCACACCCCCTTCATCCCCCCATCTCCTCCATTCTTGCCCCCCCCCATCCATTCTCTATCTACTGTCTATGCTACTTGGGAACAGTGTTTCTTTTTTTTCTTCTCTCCCCCCTTCCTCTTTTCGTCTCTAAAATCAACAAATAAAAAAACCTTTAAATGTAAAGACTAAAACAAAAAAATTATTTCTGAGATTTTCTTAGAAGGGAGTAAACTAAAAAAAAAATCTTTTCTCTATGACAAGGGTTGTCCTGAATACCCTCCACAGCATCTTGGAGCCTGGCTGGACATATGAGACATACAATCCTCGCTTGTAGGTATTTATCTCCCCAAGAGAAAACGAAAGTTTACACTCATGAAAACCTGTACACAAATGTTTATGCATCTTTATTCATAATCCCCCCCAAACCAGGCACCACCCACTCACTCTTCGGCTAGTGAAGGAAAACAAGCGGCGCTGCGCGGACGCGATGCAGCGGTACTCACCCATGAAAGGGACACGTGACAGATGCGTGCAGCAGCAGAAGAATGAATCCCAAGTGCATTCTGCCAAGTGAAAGGAGCCAGTCTCAAAAGTCTGTATGGTTCCATTTATAGGACATTCTGGAAGAAGAGAAACAGAATCACCGGAAGTCAGGGGCTACAGGCGAATGGAGGGAGGGGATTCATTACACAGGGGCGGCGGATTTTTGAGGGGGATCAAACTGTTCTATGTGTTGATTGTGTTGATAATTATACAGCAGAATGCAGTTGTCAGTTCTCATGAATTATACTCCGCTAAAAAGGGTAAATTTTACTGTACCCTTGTTATTGGCCTGCCCTGCACCCCAGGCCTCCTGCCCCCTGCCCCCTGCCCCCTGCCCCCTGCCCAGCGTGATTCCCAGGGAGAAACTCGTGCCATACCTGAGAACTCGGGAAACAACCTGCCCTGGATGAGAGCTTGATGCCCCCGAAACCTGGCTTTGAGCCCCAATCAATAAGCTGTTTCTGTTTTACTTTTTAAATTTTACTACTAAAGTACAATTGGCATACAATATTATATTACTTTCATATTTCTATGTACAATAGAATACATTTCTATGTCTAACTGATACAGAGATCTGATTGGATCACTGGGGAGAAGTAGGGAGGGGCCGTAGGAGGAGTTTGCCGAGGCAACGGTGACACAGGATTGACTGAGAGACTGAACGCACGGAATTATGGGCGGGAAGATTTGAAATGAAAGATGCACTGACACACCCTCGGGCTCTGGGGAGGTGGGGGCACGGGCCCTCCCAGGCTCCCTTCTTTCCCAGGAGCGACTGGGTGATCGTGCTGCAGCTGCCTGCGTTTCCCAACGAACAGTATTTTGTACGGGAAGGAGCTCCCGGTGCAGCCTAGGACCGGGCTGGCCTGGCAGAGGGTGCGGGGTTATTATTCTCTGGGTGTTCTAGAGGGGAGGGCTCAGAGGCAGAAGCCTGCCATTCTTCCAATATTGTGTAGCTTTTGTATCTTACGTTGTTTTAGTTTGTAAACTAACCCTATAGAAATAAGATAATTAAAACTAACGGGGGAGCCCTGGCTGGTGTAGCTCAGTGGACTGAGCACGGGCCTGTGAAGCAAAGGGTCGCTGGTTCGATTCCCAGTCAGGGCACATGCCTGGGTTGCAGGCCAGGTCCCCAGTGGGGGACACATGGGAGACAACCACACATTGATGTTTCTCTCCCACTCTTTCTCCTTCCCTTCCCCTCTCTCTAAAAATAAATAAATAAAATATTTAAAAAAAAACTAATGGGGGAAATGATAGGAGAACTCAGGTGTTAAAAGAGTTTAGCCTTAATTGATAGGCCTAAATGACTAAAGCTGTCGAAAAGTGACTATGTCAAAGCTGTTATTCCAAAATTGTGAGGCTTTTGAATAAAGACATTTTTTTTTCAAATCACCAAACCTTTGCCCCTGAAATTTTGCCTACAGGGTGGTGGCAGGCAGCAGAACCCCAATAGCTGTTGGGTAACATGATGATGCGATCATCACAGCGAGTCCAGTAACCACCTGGGGGCTTTCACATCTTTCCCGCGGCACCAGCTGTGGCCCTCAGCCGAGCCAGTAAGCTCCTCAATGCCACACTAGGCAGAGACCTGTGGGCTCGCTCTCCCCTGCTCCTGTGATTTATCTGTTCTTTATATCCTGGCACATAGTAAAAGAGACATTGGAGAGATGAACAGGATGTTCCATCCCACGGCAGCTAGCTTCTGGGCACTTCTGCTTGACTGTGCTAAACATTGTCTGAATGCAGTTTCCAATACTTTTCTTTCTTTCTGGTGTGCGTGTATGTGCGTGTGTTTCTCTTAGCTAACACTTTCTCTGGCACATTAATTAAAACCTATTGCCCAACTAAACTGTTTCAAAGGTTCCAAGTTGACTTTTCTGTAGTCAGGAAGTTTTGTAAAACATACCATTCATTATTTTAAATAACAAGATGAACCCCCTCCTAACAGACTTTCACTGATCAGGATGAAGTTGAAAGCACGAACCGCATGTGCACTGTGGGCAGGATTTGGCTGCTCATTCATTCATTAGCAGAGGTGCTCATGCGCTGTGTGTTTACAGGAAGCCTGCTCCGTGCTGAGGTCTGTGCCAGGGGTGGGGGGCACCGCGGTGCGGGGGTGCTGGGGAGAGTCGCATGGCTCCTTCCCAGTTTCTGCACCTGAGGATGCACAGTCAGTGTAGAGACACTCTACCTCTAAGTCCTGGTTTTCTCAACTGCAATTATGAAGGCCACTCCAGCCCCATTCCAAAACCAACAATCTGTGACTTGAAGGTTGTATTGCAATCTATGATGGATAGGAGATGTTGTACTATCAGACAGGATGACGATGATGATGGTGGAGTTGATGACATTATTGACCTAAGAAGAGGAAGAAGTGAAAAGAATGTTTTTGATGGTAGTATCTAATTTATCATTTTTCATGTCTCTTGCTGCTTTGAAATGGCTTTCGATGGACTGGAAAGATACATAGCCCCTTGAATGGAGTAGGGCAGTGAGGAGAGAGCACAGGAGGACTTCGACTGATATCGTAATGTTTTACTCCTTAAGATCAATTAATAAAAAGGAATTCAGTAGGCTAAATATTAAATTGGGATGTTAGGAGTTTATACTCATGAGTTATAATGTATGCTGTGCTTTTTCATGTTTGATATATTTCTTGATAATCTTTTAAAAGTTTTAAAGTTGATTTTTAGATTTTATTTTTTATTTTTAGGGAGAGAGGGAGAGAAATCATCGATCAGTTGCCTCTCACACCCCCCCAACTGGGGGCCTGGCCTGCAACCAGGCCTGCACTCTGACCAGATACCAAACCTACAACCTTCGGGTTTTCAGGCCGGCACTCAACCCACTGAGCCACACAAGCCAGGGCTAAAGTTGGTTTTTAGAAAGAGAGAGGAAGGGAGAGAAATAGAAATAGAGATTTGATTTCTTCTTCCACATATTTATGCATTTATCAGTTGATTCTTACATATGCCCAGACTTGGGATCAAACCAGCAACCTTGGCCTATGGGGCTGACGCTCTAACCCACTGACCTACCCAGGCAGGGCCTTTCTAGGTAATTTTTTAAAAGCACACTCCTTTCTTTTTTAAGTAAAAAAAAAAACAACAAAACTGGTTGGAAGCACATGTCGTCATAGAAAGGGTATCGCTATGCTTACCTGAGTAATGCATACTTCCTTGGAAATGATATCCTGCTACTGATCCTCCGTCTTTCTCCCCTCTACCCTACTAAAGTTCTGCGGGCTCCTGCCTGTACTGCTCGATGGACAAGTAGAGCTCCGAGTGAAAGCACGACAGCCAGAAGCCCTGGCAGCTCCGCCTGCCTGCCTGCCTGCCTGCCTGCCGGGCCCTTGGTCCCCTCGTCCTGCTCACAGAGCAGATTTGAGCTCCCTTCCCTCAAGGACGGCTCACTGAGGAGTCGGCACTCTAGCTGGGCTGGGAGCAGAACAAGACTCCGAGTTTCAAAGGAAGGGGTGAGGGGAGGGGTAAATTAGCCTGCCTCTAAGTCTAAAACTAATCTGTGTTTGTAGACTTCTTCCCAGGATGAGTCTGGAAAAGGGGAGGGTGGGGAGTGGGGAGACTCTTTGCCTCAGTCCTGACTGTGAAGATCGTGCTGGTCAGAAAAGAGTTAACCTGGGAGCCTCCATCCTGGGCTCTCTCCTAAGTCACCTTCCAGTGGCCAGAGCTCCTAGCTCATCCCTTTGACAATAAATGTGATTGGAACCAGGTGGGGTCCTGCCCCTCCGCCCCACTGTTTAAGGTAAGCCCGGGATGGCTGGGGTGCGGGGCAGCCTCCAGCACCGTGCCCCCAGTGCCCCTGAGCCTGGGCCCTGGGCCTCTCTGGGTAGAGTCCCAGCTCGCTGTAAAGGCTGCCAGGGCTGATGGAAAGCCTCCCTCTCCCCCAGATGGTTTCAGAACAAAGGGAATAATGGACAGGAAGTGCTTTTAGCCTCCTTGTGGAAACCCAAGTGATGTTCCAGCCTTCTTGTGGTCGGATGCAAGCTGTCCCCTGTCAGGATTGGAGTTTTCTCTTCACTAGATTCTCTCTACTCCTGGCCTGCCAATTTTCTCTTTTTCTTTTCAATTTTTAAAAATATGTTTATTGATTGCAGAGAGAGAGGGGAGGAGAAACATCAATATGAGAGCTAAACATCGATTGGTTGCCTCCTATACACATCCCAAACAGGGATCGACCCTGCAATCCTAGGTGTGCGCCCTGATAGAGAATCAGACCCAACTGAACCCTCATCCCCTTGGTGTAGGGGATGACGCTCCAATCAACCGAGCCACGCTCACCAGGCCTGGCCCGCCAATTTTCTCAGCAACACAAAGACTCTTTACTGTGCAAGGTGCTTCTCCTCCCCGACCCACATCTGGAGGTTTGTAAACTTGTCCAAAGCTCTTTCCAGAGCAGTGACCTCCTTTCAAAGACTAGAGGCATCCGAGAAGCCCACCAGCTGGACAGCACTGCCGAGTGTGGGCTCTACAGCCTCAACGGAGACTCTTCGCTTGCCCAAACTTTAGGCTCCCGAACCTTCTCTTAATATCTGTTCACTTCCTTGAAACATTCAGTTTCAGCAAGAACTCTGTCAGTTTAACCAGACAGACTCCCCCGCCTTCAACAGCTGATGGCCCTCAATAGCCAATCCCCTTCCTCCTCCTCTATCATCCCCTACGTGCTGTCTGATCACCCCGAGTAAAGTCTGCCTTGTCATCTCTAACAAGTGTCCTTTTTTCTTTAATAACCTCCTCCCAGGTCTCTGGGGTGGGAGCAAGGACCCATCGAGGTTCTGCTCCTTTCAATCCTTTGAGTAAAACCTTTTCCCTACCACCTGGTTCTTCAGTGCAGTGACCTGTGTGTGGAACCTCCCACCAGCACTGGCTCCAATAATCCCTCCTTCGAGGAGGACATCTCGCTCAGCCGGCACAAAGCTGTTTCCTTCTTCTTGAAGAATATGCCCCCCAAACTGACTTTAAAGTTATATATATCAAGGAGCCCAACTCCCTCAACCAGGTGTCCACTGCTAAATGTTTACCAGGACCTGACAGGCTGCAGAACTGTGGGAGCAATTTTACCCACAAGTTCCCCCATCCAACACGGATGAAAGTAAACACTACCAGGACATGATCTGCTTGGGGAGGAGAGGTGGCCAGTTTCTCAGAGGAAAAAGGCCTGGAGCCCCTTCCTCCAGGGGCTTTTATTGGGTCATAATACACAGGAATACAGGTGGTAAGGATCAAACAGTAGATAACATTTCAAAGAAATCTGAGGGCTTAGTCTGAGTCGGAATCTGTAAGAAAGGGGGGTTGCAGAACTTTGGGAGACATACTCGTTTCCTGCTGGGACCCATAACATATGAATGAAAGCGCTCTTAGCAAAGCAGTTTTCACAGAACTTTAAGGAATTCTTTGTGTTGCCAGATTTCTCCCTGGATCCGCTCTAGCAGGGCAAGGAGCTGCACCCCTCCCCATTAGGTATTCAGGCTTAAGTGGGTTAAAGCCAGGAAGCACTTCTCCCAGAAGACATGGGGACTCAGGCTAAGTCACATAGCTGGGGGGCAAGGGTCTATTTTTCCCTCTTTGTTGCAGCCCCCCGAGTCTTTCCATGAAGGCCTCCCAAGTGATCGAGTCTGGCTTAGGTTGCCCCTCTCTCTGTGAGGAGACTTACCCATCATGGACTTCCAACCATGCTTTGGGGGCAGGGAGGAAACTGAGGCAGCATCCGCTACCAGAGATGAGCTTTGGTCTCCTGTGGCTCGCATTCCAGAGGTCGCTCACTCATCCTTGGCCATGGGGGGTAGTTACAATTCCTAAAACCAGGCAGAGTGGTCCCCAACACAGAACCACTTCCACTTGTACTTGGGGATAGTTCTGAACAAGAACAGTTCAGGCAGCTTCCCAATGAGGTAAGAAGTGCACCACTGCCTGGACGTGAACTTGAAAAACTGTCAGGTTCGGCCTCTTTAAATCCCCACTGCACTTTGAACGACTTCTAAGAGTGTGGTGATTGCTGGGGAGAGCATGGTGTAAGGGGACTAAATGATAATGGGAAAAATAGATTAAATTTTGAAAAAAGAATTACTTTTAAGAAAGAATAGCAACAGCTAACATTTCTGAGGGCTTACTGTCTGCCTGACCCTGTGGTCAGCCTTTAAATAGGTCATTCAATCCCTGTGTTTACAGGGGAGGGAACTGAAGCTTAAACAGGGTCATGAAATGTTCCACTGCCACCCAACTGGTAAGAGCCAGAGCTGGGATTCGAACTGCATTCTGTCTAGCTGAGACACGGTAGAGACAGTTAGCCTGTGGCTTGGCCCCTCTTGGGCATAATGGATGCATGTCCTCCCTCAGTTAAGGTTGTTTGAAAGTCTTTATTACTGTGCTTTTTAAAATATAAAAGTACATGGTAAATATTATAGTAAACATAATTTCCTTGTACTGTATACTTTTCTAAGACTGAGAAGCCCTTCCCACCCCTCTGAGAATGCCTGAACCAGGAATTCATTTGCCCTGGATGTTGCATTGTTTCAGATAAAGACCCAGTTTAAGTGGCAGTTGAGCTGCTTGGACCCAAAGCGCGGGTTCAGGAGGTACAAATCCCCACAAAGCCACTCCCCGCCGTGTGACCCTGGGCTGACCACTTACTCTCTCAGCCTCAGTTACTCACCCGAAATAGTAGTTAATACAGGCAGATCTCGTTTTATTGTGCTTCACTCCTTGAAGAGGACCTGCCCGTAGGGCTGTTGGGAGGAGTCAGTGACTTAATGCATGCACGGCACCTGTCACAAAGTAAGAGATCAATAAATATCAATTGTTGTTTTCTTATTGAAGAGATTTTCGATGGAGAGTGCTTTAAGGAAGACCTTTTAGGCAACAATGCCTAAAAGCACACTTCTGAGGGGAAAAATACTGCCATGGATTTCAAATTCATCTTCATATATCAGACCAGGTCTGCTGATATTTGGCTGTGAAAATGTGAACCCCGAAACAATGTCTCGGGTGTGATAATAAGTCTACGGACTCCTGCAAGACTGCTGACTCTCTTTAGCAACCTGAAAGCCATTTGATGGGGAGGACGAGTCCATAGGGGACCAGTTCACTGCCAGCGTGATTCCTCTGAGACCGTGTCAGCACCGAGCCTCCCGGCTGCAGACAGAACGAGATCACAGCTGCCCTGCCCCGGGAGGCAGCCCTAATCACCCTCCACCCCGTGGAGCTGACTGTGCCCCCTCTAACCCTGGCCTTCACCTCCCCTCCAGCCCCCACGTTCTCATCCCTCTGCTGGACTGAGAACGCACAGAGATGGGGCCATGCGGGCTCCATATGTGTATGCCCACCACGGGCACACAGTACATTCCTGTAAACCCTTCTAGAATGAACTCATGGGAGACTGTACGATTCTCTCCACTCTTTCCAGGGTGTACCTGTGAACTAGTGCCAGTCCTGTGGCCTGCATAGAGGGGTCAAAACAAGTGCCTTTCAGTCCTTGCAACCTTCTTTTCCAGACCCGATACATATGGCTGCCCTTCTGCTAAGTGTCACCTCAAAGAGTCAGGTCATTCAGGCACAATCTTTATGTTCTTTAACTTTAATCACATAAGTACCTTGGTCTGTCTAATGTCCTCTTTCCCAAACATTTCTTAAGCTGGACAACTCAGGCCAATGAAAGAGCTAGTCTATTTTATGTTGATTCCATTAGCTTTACTTTCTTGATCTACTTTCTAAAGTGGGAGGAAGATGGGGAAGGGGGTACCTTTCCATAGCCTTCTAGACCCTGCCTAAGGAGAGGGCTTAGGTAGGACCTGTGGTTCCTCTCCCATGCTCTCGTCCAATTGCATCCTCGTCCCCCCCACCCCAGTCCTGTGTGTGGCGAAGGCAGAGCAGTAACACACCTGGGCAGACTTAAGGAGGACTTCCCAGAGACCTCTGGGGGCCTGGACTGGTAACTGTTGGCCCTGTCTCTTGCTGGCTGGAATATTTTGGATAATCACTTAACCTCCTTGACCTCAATTCTTCATTTATAAAAGCAGGCATGACCTAGGGCTTTTTAATGCTCTCTGTAACACTAAAGACTAGACAGTGCTCCGCAAACATGAGAAATGATTCCTCTCCCTGGAAAATGCCTTCCTTCCCCCAACATAAGCCAGGGGAAAGTTCTGAGAGCAAAGGTCACTTGGGAAAGAGAAAAGGTACCTACAGGTCACAGGTCACATTCAGACATCTCTGATTTACGCAGAATATCTCCCAGAACATTTTGTGGAGACACAAGACTCTGAAAGTTGCTGTGCCTGGGAATGAAAATCAGCCTCAATTGTCCTCTAGTTGTATCATCAGAAGACTTTGGCTTGAACCAGAAACTCCTAATATACTAACTGGCCCTCTTAAGAGGTCAAAATATGTCAAGAGTTGCCTAAAGAACTAACAGTGCCATCTGTGCTCTATTGTCCACGGCTATTTTGGGTCTTACAAACCATAAGTGCAATTAAAAAAAAATCAGTGCCCTCAACGACCGAAAGTCAATCGAGTTACTTAAGCTCTCCCCCAGTTTACAGAGCCACTGCCTCTCCAGGAGGCTGGCTACAGCTTTGGACTTCGGGCAGACACTAAACTACTTAGCTGGCAGATGAAAATATAGGGAGCTCCAATCATCCAATCAGGGGGCTATTAAAATATGGGTCATAAATCTCTGGTTCTGCCACAGTTCATCAAGGACAAAATCTGGCACCTCCCAGCCTTGCCGAAAGGGAACTCCATGGGTTGGGATGGCTGAGGGTCCTGCTTGCTCCTCCTCTTCCTCTCGGGTGTATCCTAAGATTGTGGTACATAAGTATGATCGAGGACCTTTTGTTTTGCTTACCAGAAAGGAAGTCTGTTTTCCCCAAAAGTATCTGCCAGGTTTTTACCAGTTTAGGGCCTCAGCCTTGGCCTTAACCCAGATAACTGCCCACCTCCAGGTGGGCTCTGAACTTGTCCCTGTAGTCCTGCCCCGGCCCTCCCGAGCTGTCTTAGAGGCTAGAGGAAGAGTGGCAGCCCTGAGGTCACTGGAGGTCAGCACCCTGGGGTGAATTGGTGGGTCCAGGGGGAGGGGTGGTCTTTTCAGGGGGTGACTGAAACCTGCTCCAGGTACCTCAGGCCGCAGGCTGGCCTCAGGGGATTGAGAACTCAGTGCACATAACCCATTCCAGCGCACCAACTGGGAGGCTCTGCTGTAGACCCTCTGCCCTCTAACGATTTCCTCATCTACAAAATGGGGAAATAATATCACACTGGGTGGTTGATTCCAGTGGAGACGAAGTGCCCAGTGCCGGGCCTGGTGCACAGCAGGAACTGCCCTGCGGTGGAGCTCTTTCCTTTCCTTCACTTCCATTCTGATGCCAACTGCCAAGGCCCATAAGAGCCAAATGTTTGCCAATTCTAGGGTGGTATGACCCATTGATACCCAACCCTTGATAGAGAACTGTGTGGACCAGTTTCTCTTCACCTTTCTTCTGTTAAGAAAAATTATCCAGGGCCCTTCCGATGCTGTATAAGAGCATTTCTAAAAAACCCACCTGATGGTTATCTGACACTCTACAACGGAGGTTCTCAAAGTGTGGCGCCGGCAACACCCACACTTGTTAGAAATGCAAGTTCTCGGGCTCCCCTCAGCCCTATTGCATTAACAGCTCTGGAGCTGGGGGCCTGCATCTGTGATTTACAAGCTGCCCAGGACTAATATACTTCTCTAAGGAGACAACTTTGTGCTTATAGAAGTGCCTGGCATTGCCCTGGCTGGGTGGCTCCGCTGGTCAGAGTGTTGTTCCCCACACCGAGAGGTTGTGGGTTTGATCCCCAGTCAGGGCGTGAACAGAGGCAACCAATCAATGTTTCTTCCTCACATCCATCTCTCTCTCCCTCTCTGCCTGTCTCTCTCAAATCAATAAACATATGTTCTTTCTCTCAAATCGGTAATTTTTTTAAATGGCTGACATAAGGTAAACACTATACGAGTTTGACTCTTGCCATAAGTTAGCACGTGTGAATATAAGATTGTGGTACAATCACATACATGTGCGCTGGAGCAAAAAGCGCAGTCACAGGACTGGAGAACTCAGTGCAGGCTTTGGGGCTGACCAAGAACAGGCTGTCAGCAAGAAGGCAGGCAGAAACCAGGGAGGCAGAGGGCAGCTCCAGCCACATGTGGTTGAGGAGCAGACGCAGATCAGAGGCAGGGTCTGGACAGGACAGACTCAGCTGGTCTGAGGTCTTAAGATCATACCTGGAAGGCTCCAAGCTGTCTGGGGACAACTTTAGCCTCTTAAGACTTCAGTCTCCACTAGACATTTTAGTCTTAAAGTTTCCAGACCTACCTATCTGTCCTGCTGTTTTCCCCAGGTTACTGGCTGTGTCCCATTTTCTACCGCTCTCCAAGTGACTCATGGCAGTGGCACTGTTGTGTCTGGGGTGTGGGGCAAGCAGCCCAGGGCAGATGAGGCCTGACCCTGGGGCCACCCAACGCCCCCTCAAATCTGCCTTCCTAGCTCCTGACGCTTCAGCTGCACTGTGCTGAAGTGAGTTCCTTCTGAGACGTGGGCCAAAGAACTAAAAAGTGAGTTCTCAATCAGGGCATCCGCATCTGTGTAAGAAACAGCCGGCTAAATGATTACTCTGGACAACACAAACGCGAGCATGAGCCTAGTAATACATCTGCTGGTTTTTCATGTGATAATATGCCAGACTTGCAAAAATTTAGCCCATTCACAAGTGTGTTGATTAATTTACAAACTGTTGCATAGACAATTAAAACTGGATTTGGCTCTTTACAATAAAAGTTATTTTAGAAATACTTAAATTCCATTTGAAACATAAATTTAGTCCTGACTACTGAGGCTCAGTGGGTTGGGCACTGTCCTACAAACCAAAGGGTTGCCGGTTCGATTCCTGGTCAGGACACATGCCTGGGTTGTGGGCCAGGTCCCCAGCTGGGGGTGTGCAAGAGGCAACCAATCAGTGTTTCTCTAATACATGAATGTTTCTCTTCCTCTCTTTCTTCCTCCCTTCCACCTCTCTAAAAATTGATTAATTAATTAAATCTGGTTTTTTAAAAAAACCAGATTTAAGGAGAAATCATATTAAAAGAATCACTTTCCTAATGTTATGAAGTTTTTGTGTTTGTCATATTTTATTTTACTTTTTTTAAGATTTTATTTATTTTCAGAGTCAGGGGAAGGGAGGGAGAAAGAGAGGGAAACATCCTTGTGTGGTGTTGCCTCTCTCATGCCCCCTACAGGTGATGTGGCCAGCAACCCAGGCATGTGCCCTGATTGGGAATCAAACCAGTGACCCTTTGGTTTGCGAGCTGGCACTCAATCCACTAAGCCACACCAGCCAGGGCTGCTTGTCACATATTAAATCACTGCCAACTAAAGCAATAATGACAATAGTGTTACTTTTAAATGACTTTACTGTTTTGTAACCACTGAAAAGCATTATTTTAAGTTATTAATTATTTTTTAAAGCATTGACTGGGCCAAGCTGGTAATGGGGAAATATATTCTACTTGGAGAGAAATGCGAGGGAAGGAGGGCAGAGAGGAGAGTGTGCATGAGCAAGTCGAGAATTTCCAGGCACCATACCCAGGTACATCCTGTTACAGCCTCCACTGGGGCAACTGAGGCATAATTAACAAAGTTCTGTGGGTTGAGGAATGTCTGTACGAAGAATGCATGATATGTATAGTGAGAAAGAAGGAAACGGTAGGAATACTGATATGGGTGGTTCTTATTGGGGTGCTGATATG